GCTAAGATGGTAATAAAGAGAATTTGGGAGTCAATCAGAATCTCCTAGGGGTAAACTTTTATGATTCAAATTAATGTTATTTACATATTTCATTGGTTTACTATGAGCTATTTTACCCGTTCTGTGTATATCATGAATTTAAACATTTACCAAATGAAACATTTCAACTTAACATAAAAAAATAGTTTATTTGCAGATATTAACGGGTGTATAGAGTTTAATTGTCTTTCATTGGATAACACTATTGGACATCTAGTGTCAGCATCAGGGTTGATAGGGTTTTTCCTTGTTGTCAATCATAATGTATGAGCTTTAACCAAACAGAATCACAAGCCAGGACAATGCCACATGAAAACAACTCATTCACATTTATTCTTGATGTGTAGTGTATAGATCATTCGCTAAAACACAAATCTGTACACATTCTTCCACAAATAGACAAGAAAGATATACTGATTTCACATAATATGTATTAGCTCCGTACAGTAGACATTAGGATAGGAGCACTCATAAACTCTGCTTTACATCTTTGTGCATTACAATACCTTATTGTTCTTCTCCCACCTCCTGTCCAGATACTCCACTCTCTATGTCGGATATCATGTCTTCATCATCATCGTCAATTGTAACGGTTTAGAAATGTCTTTGAAAAGCGTAACAGTGCAACAAATGTTTACTGATTTTATAACCCTGTTGGGGTAAATGTAAATGTAGTAGCGGAATATGGGGTGAATGTTGGTGGGTGGATGGAACGCACACAACACAACGCTACTTGTGTTCTCAGATGACAACCATTTTATTATTGACATGAATGTTGGAACACCTCACTGTGTGGCAGTGAGAGTGCATCAGCTCTCATGCAGTCACGGATCAATCATATACATCATCATGGATCATTCTGAATAATAAAATCTTCATTATGATCCAGAAATGTTCCAGAAAACACAAATATACCACAGTGATGTGATCCTCCGCAAAAATCTATGTGACTGCCAACAGGTTATCTGTGACAGCCACCTTTAAAACTAAACAGACAATAGGTGGCAAGCTGACCAGAGAAACTGAGGGAGAGGGACAAAAGAAGCTTGTGCAGAGTGTAAGCGTATGGGTTAGAACCTGGCCTGACCCAGTAGGGTGGCTATTGTTAATTGAGTAATTGCATAAGTGCAGGGATACATTTAACTGAGAGGGTTTGTTATATTTTATCTGTAACCTTGAAATCTGACATGTATACAATATAGAATAACTATATACAAGTACTTAAAATTAAAACTTACAAACTATGAAACAAATAATGATTAAAACATGACTTGGCCACATAAACATGGCAGTCAAGAAATTATCAGATGTTATTATGTTCTGTTTTACAATGTAACTGATATAACTAGAGAAAGCGTACCACGTCGAAGGAACAACCACCATGGTTTGACTCTGAGTGCAGAAGAATGGAGAAGGAGAAATGTAAAATGCTAACTCTTTTAGAAGGTACAAGACTTTAATGTTCAACACTATACATCTGCCGAATCAAAATTAAAGAAGTGTTGTGATCAGAAGAGAACTGCATATAATTTGTGCCAAAGTGACAAGATAAACCTTGCGGCTAAATATAGTGCCTGTAAATCCTTTTGGAGTACTGTTAAAAAACATTGAACCCCTTACCAATCAAGATCATATCAAAACCTGAAGAATGTTTTTTTCATATTTTAATGAACTACTAAATCCTATGTTGGAACGAGAAGAAACAGATCCTTGGATCATACAGTTAGACAGTTTATACAAAGCCATTCCTGTGACAATTGTACTTCTGCTCCCTGGACGAATGATCTGCTTAGTAAAAATATCACTGAGGAAGAAATGAAGGAAGAAATTAAAAGTTTTAAGAAAGGAAAGTCCTCTGAGAAGACGGCATACGTGCAGAAATTTACAAGACTTCATCAGAAACCCTTATTCCATATTTAATCCTACTTTTTAATAAAATATTTGATACTGGTGTATTCCCTGAACCATGGAATCAAGCTATTATTCTTCCCTTATATAATACTGGATCAAGAACCAACCCATCAAACTACTGAGTCATTTCATTTACTGGGCAGTATTGGAAGACTTTTTACATCTATACTAGAACGGCGTTTGAGGATATTGATAAACATAAATCATTTACTATGAGAAGCATAAGCTGGATTCCGACCGAATTATGCCACCGTTGATAAATGCCTCAGCCCCATTCTTTCCATTTCTTTATAAATGAATTAGTGAATGAATTGTATGAAACAATTTTCCAAAGGTATATAAATATATCTCAGGATATATATATAAGTTGTTCACTGGTCTCGAGGGGGACATGGGTTGATGTACCCTCTATGTTTTGTTTATATCCCTTGAACCCGAAGGGCCCGAAACAAACATAGAGGGAACATCAACCCAGGGGCCCGGAGGGACAGTGAACAACGTATGTATCTTACCGAACACCTCAATGTTAATTTTGAACTGTTTGAAGCACTTGTATTTTATCATAATAAGAATTACCGGAGTTAGGCAACAGCCTAAAACACTACTTACACGAAGTACCAAACGAATTCCCACATTTCGGCATTTCCATCGGGTAACATAGAAAATTGTCTCGTCCCAATTGTCCTCCTTGCCAAATCAGCAGCTGTTTGGAACCGTCGTCACAGGTGGTGCACCAGGTCGCGGACGATCAGCAACTCTTCTGGTGGCCCGAAAACATTGAATGAGTCGACTAACAGTCGATGAATGCACATTAAAGTGCCTGGCAATCATCACATCTGAAGCACCTTGGCTGACCATAGCGATAGCTTGGTTCCTTTCGTCTTGTGTCAAGCGTGGCATTTTCTCAAAGTGATTGAGTTCTACAATTCCTTGTGCTTTTTGTAATGTGGTTGTGTTTACAAGAAATGTCAAAGGTTCAGTTTTAAGCATCAAAGTTCATGTGAGAGGAATGCTCCGGGACTCGAACTCGAAATGGGCCAGAATAACAGCCTTTTATCCCTACATCCTCTGTATCGCAGGAATAAAATATTCAATATAACTTTTGTAAGTTCCAGGACAACAAATACCAATTGTTTTTTAATGGCTTTCAGTATAGAACAATATGTTCAATGTAGCAGCATCTGAAGTATAATCATTACAGCTGGTGAAGCCAATATGAAAAGCGCTCTGTCGTTTCATAATCGACACTGCAATTGTCTTGACGAACCATCTGTGACTATCTTTGTAGACCCGTGAAGATGAAGGTTCTAACCCTTCATCAACCCATGCTTGTAGTAAGAGGCGACTAACGAGATCGGGTGGTCAGGCTTGCTGACTTGGTTGACACACGTCATCGTATCCCAAACGCGTACATCGATGCTCATAATTTTGATGACTGGGTTTGTCTGATCCAGATTCGATTATATACAGACCGCTGCCATATAGCTGGAATATTGCTGAGTGCGGCGTTAAAAGCCAAACCACTGACTGTGATTGATCGTTGCAGAGTAGCACAGTAGACAGAGCAGCAGTTGGACACAGTTAGGATCCGGGTTTGAAACCCACTCCTCTGTAATATTAACTGCCACATCAAATAGTCCCCACACAAGACCTGCAGAGACTGGCGTAACACGTGTATGATAGTTCTAACAGCTATCTGATTTACAAACATAATAAATGTCAATGGATTCAAAAGATGTTATATCCTTGACGGGCATCGGTGTCACCGTTAAAGCATTCAGCTGTACCACCCGGTGGTCTAAGACAATCAGAGCGTATAGAATACATTCATAACACAAATATGTATGTATGTGTAAGTCATGTACCACACATGTACAGTCACATGCACGCTTTGACACCAATATGTCTTATCTGCCATCTTTGTGATGCTATTGTGAAGGCATCCCAGGAGTATGAAATCCGCCATTGCGGGAATCAGAGGCCCTTTGGTAGCATCAAATACTTCAAATGTGGGTTTGCGTATGTACAAAATGTTTGAACATTAATTTTACAGTGTAATGTTTAAAACTACAAACATGCGTTTTGCGTAATGTAAACATAATAGAATCTACATCTGCCTACGCGCATCTTTCTAAAACCAGTCAGTTATGTATTAAACACCTGCTTCTTATAAAACACTGGTAATAAAGAACTTAAATATTTGTTTACACAAGCCCAGAGTGGTATAAAAGACCGGCGTTTATATATTCGCTAATGTCTTTCTCAATAAAAATAATTGTTCCTTTGAACAATTCCCTGCAGACTTGGAAAGTAAACTTTCTCTTCCTGTAAAATATTTGAGGTAATTTGACACCTGGGTTTGGAACGCCCTCAAATCGAGTTTTTCTCCTATATTGCCTTTTAATTTCATGTACATACAATCAGCTCCTCCTGAGCGAGGTTGTCTCATTATGGTCGAACTTTTATTGTAGTTTATGAAGCTGTTACTTTTTTAAGATTTCTCATCACATTTGTTTTACTGTCTGATGGGGTGTAAGTGACGGTACATGTAGCTTTGGGTAAGACAGCTGGGAAATGGTCTTTAAGCTGTGTGATATGTAAACCAAACATAACACCATGTAGATTTCTAAATATTGTTGTTTATAATGTTCAGTTGCAGACCTATACATTTCTAATATTGAGTAACTAGTTGTGTTGGATATATCTTATAATAGAAGTTAAATGTAGTTGTAGTGATAGTAGTATCATATTTACCATAGTCCTTCCATTTTTTACCAACTCGTATTATTCTGGGACAAGCCGAACAGACATTTTTTGTAGATGAAAGATGCGAGTAGTAAAAGAATGCATATTTATTCGGCAACAGTCGCCCTTTCCGTATACATCTCCGGATTGTCCCGAAATGGCACGAGTGGTCCCAAGGACACGATGAGAATGTGAATGTTGTTTTTTATGCAACAAAGATGCAGGAATGCAGTCACCAAGAGTTCTCTTCAGTCGGTTCTGTCGTCAGTTATAAGTGTTGTATGTGTTAGTGCTGGGGGTTGCACCACTTTACACAGTGTTCGATTACCCACATGCGTACAATGCGTGTAGCCCATTTTTGGTGTCATCCGTCTCCCGACCCAAGGGACAAAACGTTACTCCGAGCAGCAAACTGTGGCTCCTCACGCGACTGCCCATCCCATAATGCATGGTATAGGGACAATATGGGTACAGGCGTAATCGTGATTGAAAACGTGAATAATCTCTTAACTTTATCCTTTTATTAAATTTAGCAAGCTAAATGTACAAATGAAGGTCAGACAAAGGTTAATGAATATTACATTTCATTTGTCTGATATTGATACAAATCAGAGACATGGATATATGCTGTATTTGAAGCACTAATGATCGCAGGGTGTATCGATGCCGTATTCAAATAAATACAGACAAAACAAGAATTGTAGTATTTAGAAATACAGTCTACAACAGTACAGTGGACGTACGATCCCAATGAACGTGTCATCACCGTGCAACTATATCTTCGTATGCTATTCTATAGAAACCTCACATGAAGCCTTTGACTGTAAAATCCTGACAATTCCACAGTATGATTCTGAGATTTGGGGTTTTCAAAGGTGTAAAATAAAATAAATACAGTCACAAGCATGTAAACATTTCTCGACATCCGAAAATCAGCCACACCGGATATTGTACAAAGGGAACGCGGAAGATACCCAATATATGCATTGACTCTGAAACGTTCTGTCTTATATTGGTTAAAACTCAACTTAATGCGTCTTTACCGCTATTCATCCAAAACTTATAAGATGAATATGACAGGACAGTATTCAATAAAACCACACTGTTTTAGCTGGGTCTTGAATATGAGTAGATTGGACAGGGACTTGAGGATGTTATCAGATTTATCCATTGTACAACAAAGATGTAAAGACATATTCAGCAAGACATTTTCGAAATGAAGAATTTTCATACTTTTATTCAGTGTTAAAACAACACGTTATGCGTGAACGTCTGTGAATTAGAAAGTATCACTATCGCGGTTTTGATTGGGATACTATGATCTAACATTTCATCACAGAAATATTTCATGCTACTTAGGACAAATTCCAATAGATTTTCAGATTCAGATTCATTTTATTCAGTTTTTCGGGCCTAAAGGCCTATGGTACAAATACACTTGCTACAGATAGATGCACGTGGTGGTGACGTTTCATGCATTGAAAACATATTTTAAATAAACTGCAATAGATTTGATAACATCAATATTCTTAGAATTAAACAGACAGGACAGTATTTGTTTATCTCTTACAGGTGCTGATATAAATGATAAATACTCACGTCGTAAATCTGAATACTTGGTACACACAAATATTACATTATATTCACTTTCAATGGTTCACTCCCAAAAGACAGACCTCCCATAAGACAGACTCAATGAGTACACGAATTAGCTGAGCTATGCTGTCCACCCCTATATAATTAAGGAGCTGACCCAGAGTCACTATAGAGTATAGTAACAATACACTCTTGTCTCCTGTGCCCTTCTCAAAAGATATTACTAATCCTTTTACTGACCCATCGCTACCAGGTTGTAGGAAAAAAAGTCATAGGAAATTGTTATTTTTCCTATGACTTTTTTCCCATGACTTTTTTCCATGACATTTTTCCTATGACTATTTTCCGATCACCCTTCTAGATGGCTACCTGTATGCCAAGAACAAGGTGAAAGGAGAAAATGATGATGTTCAAGTGACTTTCTAATAGGGATGTCACGACACATAACTTTCATGAATCGATACGTATATACCCTCACATGTTTGATAGGTACATGTATATAAATTATTGTTTTTGATATATGATCGGGAAAATATGTGTGGATGTACATAAATGTTGATGCAATATGTCTTAATTTAAAAATAATATTTCATTACATGAACTGATAAAACTATAGTTAATACCTAATGCTGTCTTTTTTTTATCTGGGCACATACAATTATTATCAAGGGTACAGCTTAATTAAGCCTTATGTAACCAACCATAAAATGTGTTGTTTTAAGCAGTCTGTCTTTTGGGAGGTCTGTCTTATGGGAAGATACCCTTTCAATATTAACTTATTACAATGTTTACAGATGGATTCATTATTATCACTCAAAGCTCTATTGGATTTGCGTAAATAGTGAATTCAAAAATCATGAAAACCAATTCTAAATTTACACAACGCCCGTATCAACGATTTATCTTGTAGATTCATAATAACTCCGGTTCTAACAAAGATTTATGAGAAGAAAAGTGCTCTAAAAAACGTGAACTATTTATTGACATAGAGCATTCTTGGGAGAAAATGTCCTGAAGACGTTGCTTAAAAACATAAAAAAAATACATTCATTTTCAACCTCTTGTGAAATCCACAGAGAGAAAATCCAGTCGAAAAAAGTAACTGTCTAACCTCTGATGCCCAATTAAGCTTACCATTATCATCTTGTAACGTTAGGAAAATATAACCTTGCCTGGGGCACCTATAAGAATTCATTTTTAATAATTTTAGCCAAAATGTTATTACTTTTAATCTAGTGAGTACAAATATATTGCAACGACCAGTTTTCCCTAATACAGCCTTATTTGAAGCATACTTTACCAAATTTAGAAAATATTTAAAATATGATGCATGTACCGTTTCTATACAGTGAAAATGTTTAGTTCCCCAAATTTCGTACACTTATAAAAGAACCGGTAAAATCTTACAGTCAAAGATGGTACAAGCAGTTTTGAAAGAAATAGAAGTCAGAATTCTTTTTGAATAACCGGTATACAGATTGCATGGGCGTTGATGCTTGAGCAGATAAACTTTTACAGGCTGTTGACCAATTTAGTCTGGATGAGAATATTAAACCCAAATATTTATAATACGAAACACGTTTCAGCCTTGTATTACCATAATATCATATCTCATCCTTTTTAACACACCTCCATTTCTGAACACAATAATATTATTAGTTTTCTCAATATTAACACTCAATCCCAAAGTAATACAAAATCTATGCAAAACATTAAGTTGTTGCTGTAAACCAATGACTGTATAGAAAAACATATTTACATCGTCAGCAAATAGTAACATCATTTTATCATCAATGTCTTGAAATGTCTTTATTCATTGATAAAAATGATGAAATGAATTTGGCTTAAAATGCAGCCTTGACGTACTCCAGAACTTGTTGAGAACATATCAGTTTTAAAATTACACACCTTTCACAAGATTTTACAGATGAATACATATTATGAAGAAGATTTAATTTACCATGGCAACCTGACATGAGTAACGAACATAGAAGTTTGGCTCTCTCAACATAGTCGAAGGCCTTTTTAAAATCTATAAAGGCACTGAAGAATCGCCCTTTAGGCTTTGAAAGCTATTTGGAACATAGAGTCTGGAGGGTAAATTTATTGTTTGTAGTCGCATATCCGAGCCTGAACCCTGCTTGTGTTTCGGTTAAAATATCATTCAAGTCTATCCACGAACGGAGGCGTTTATCCAGTATTGATGTAAATATTTTCCTTGAAACATTTAGGAGCGATATACCCTTATAGTTGCTTGGGTCGGTTGCAGAACCTGACTTAAATAGAGGTATGGTGAGAGCAGAGTTCCAGGAATCTGGAAAACCAATTCCATTAATTCATATTGAAGATGATTGTCACGTCCTTCTATGTACACTTAATGAAGATCCAAGGAGGCATTATATCCCATATAAATACATGCCCTGTCCATCAGTTAACAAATTCTGTATGCTAATGGCAGCAGAAAATGGCCGGTTTATGCTGAATTTGGCTATGTTAGTACACCATTTACAATCAAAACGAAAACGTTCATGTACCTCTCGCTCAAAATAATCATTTTACTCCAGGACTTGTGACTGCTCTTCAAAATTAACAGAGCAAAATCATTGGAATGTCATCGTTATTTATATCTTTCGTTATCACATGACTTTGGCTGTTCAGATATCTCAAGGTCAAATCAACAAATGCCTTGAGACCGTGACTGACCTCAATGAACAAGGAACCTTTTGTCAGACTACGATGTATGCATGAGCTGGGACTATTTATAGCTGTTTTGAAAGCGTCATGAACACGCCTGTTTTGTAGCAGTTATATGTCATGTTCAGATATACCTTTGGCATTTCGCCATAGTTAGATACACATACAATATACAACAACAATTACTTAGAATACCACGTAACCACATCAAAGGTGTTAGCTGAGGGTCGAGAAAATATCAACGTCAAAGACTTGATCAGGTGTAACAGAGTCTGATAACAGAAAAAAATCGAAAATGTGCCCATGTCGGCGTTAAAAAGACAATCATAACAAAATATCCGACTAAAATACATAGTAATACTGCAACACACGTCACAGCATTAACTTATATGGATTTATGACATAATATATGCACATTTGGCTTCTGTCCCCAGTCTCTGGATTCCTAATGTAGCAGCTTTATGTGTTCATCTTTGATAAAGTGACAACAGGGATGTGATTCGGTTTATTGATGACTGGGTATATTTAGTAGTATTATTTACACCCTGTTTATTCTTTGCTGATACAAAATGATGATAAACTGACACCCTATAACAATAAATGAGATTATATGAATACATACAGTTTTTTATCTCATAATTCAATATATAAAAGCAACGAATTACATAATCAAAAGCGATACAGATATTAATAGTTTATATACTCAGCAGCAATAAACGTCAGTACGAATTCAAAATTAGATAGGCACTGTAATCAAATCATTACAGAAATGGACATAATAAGCGGATCAAAAACATTTTTTGTGTACAATATCCTGACACATCAATGAATAACTCAAGACACAATTTCAAGACATAATGTGAACGTTTCCAGTCCATTCAGACTCTTGACTAAAGCATCTAGTGTGACCACCACGAGCGGCAATAAGTGCAGCACAGCGTCTATGCATGGAGTGCACCAATCGATTAATGAAGGCCATTGGCACCTGGAACCACACTCTGAGAAAGGCCTGGCGCAATAAATGGACTGTGTTCGGCCTTCATTCAGTCTCCTCTGAATTTGATACCAAAGATATTCAACTGGGTCACTGCATAATGTTGACACCGTTTTGCTGTAGGAAGTCCCATGAAGCTCTGGCAGTATATGGGCCCGGGTGTTATCATACTGGAAAATGTTGTTCCGGTGACGTGCGAAATGTGGTATGACGTGAGGTCTGAGGGCTTGGTCGCTCTAGCGCACCGCTGTGATGCCGCCTCCTCACCCTGGACCAAGATTCTGGAACACCACAGGACCCACTCTCTGGTTCAGGCCTATTCCACCCATACCATGATGCTTGCACCACACCATGAGTCTCTTTCCAAAACACATTGGTGACACGTAACGCTGGACACGTCGTCGCCAAATTCTTGTTCTGCCATCTGCGGTTGATACGCAGTACCGACTCTCATCTGTGCAGAACAGTTCTCAGTACTGATTGGTCTTCCGTATGTTCCCAATGTCAGGCGAGCTGTTTCGGAAGCCTGCATGAAGGGATTCTATACGTGCTGTCGCACAACATGGCGATCTTGTCGTCTTGTGGTCACCCTTGGTCTGCCAGTACGGGGGCGATCATTTGTGGTGTTAGTGGCCCGGAAACGTTGCTGCAGCCTGTAGATGGTCCGAACGTTGACCTGGAAGTGATTGGCAACGGCTTGTGCAGTGTGGCCAGCTTCAAGTCTTCCTGGCGCCTGGTTCCTCTGAGCTGTCGTGAGTCGCGGCATCCTGCTGACGTTGTAATGTGAATGTTTCAACCAGGTTTGGGGTGCATTTTATAGGGCTGGTCCATGTGAACAACACGTGCAGCATGAGTTGCATAAAAACATGGAGAACACCGTACCATCTCCGAGATCAGGTTGCGTTTTTGAGACCAATTCCTGGGTTCCATTCCAAGTTTGGGAAGGAATGTCTTTGCTGAGGTAAAGTTGGAGATGTTGTCAAAAATATACAATCAAAACATTAAATGAGTTTACAGTTATCCGTTTCTGATGAGGAAAATTCCAAACTGACGTTTGCTGCTTAGTATATATAAGCCTGACAATGTTGCAGTTCCATATGCAATACATATATGGCATGATAATTTATGATAAGCATGGTATTACTCAGAATAATGTGTGTGCGTGCGTGCGTGCGTGCGTGTGTGCGTGCGTAGGTAAACATAATCATGTACCCAGTGCGGTCCACACAACTGACAATGGGACAATGTCGTATCAACCTGTTCATGATATAAAACATACCATGAGTACTAATGGATTTACACAACTAAACATTACATCTAAACTATCATCAATTCATTGATAAACATAACAGGTTACCAGGTCAACCAAACCACACATACAATCAAATATGGTATTTCTTACACACATACACACAAAGTATATGTGACATCAATCTGATATAGATATTTTTACATGAAGTCACTTATAAATTATAATGGCATAAAAAGAACATAATATTAGTTACTAACCCCTACCGTTTCTGATCCTGTCTGTATCCAAGTGCAGTGTCATTGAGAAAAATTGCAGATGTGGAAACAAAGGGTTTAAAAGTTTGACACCCAGTTCAAAACTAGCCAGTCATTAACACATCTAGGCGTATACTTTGAAGTGGACTTACCCAATGAAATACACTTAACAAAAGAAAAGAGCTTTAATCGTATTACATGTACTTTACTTGATCTCGTCACTATATGGCTGGAAGAATGCCGATATGACGTAAATCTCAACTCAACTCAACAACAACTTAGCTTACAACTGCTTAAATATCTTATGCAGCCTGAAATGAGAGATTTGATTATTTATAAATCAGTGAAGATGACTAATCCATACATCTGAAATTAATCCAATAAATAGGTAACAGTTTCTGTTTTTCCTTGAAATAAACAAATAACATTATTTAAACATATTAAAGTAAAACAGGTCAATGATAAAACATGATCACTATTTACAGAACTTGAACTATGCCACTCCTTCACACCCATAATGAAAACTAATATCAAATGCTGACATTAATACTAATGCTAATACCAACACTAATACTTACTTAAATCTCCTTACTTACAACTATACATCCTGAACATTGCAAGTATTGAGGTGTGTGAGTAGTAAGGTGAGTATTAAGGTAGGCAAACAATTACATTGCAGGCAAAGGTCTTCCCGTGTAAAACATTGTGGTGGACAGAGTTCCTGTGGGCATAGTTCCTGTGGGAATAGATCCTGTTGGCATAGTTCCTATGGGCATAGATCCTGTTGGCATAGTTCCTGTTGGCATAGTTCCTGTGGGCAAAGATCCTGTGGGCAAAGTTCCGGTGGGCATAGTTCCTGTGTGAAAGGTTCCTGTGGGCATAGTTCCTGTGTGAAAAGTTCCTGTGGGCATAGTTCCTGTGTGAAAAGCTCCAGTGGGCATAGATCATGTGGGCATAGTTCCTGCGGGCAAAGATCCTGTGGGCATACTTCCTGTGTGAAAAGTTCCTGTGGGCATAGATCCTGTGGGCATAGTTCCTGTGTCAAAAGTTCCTGTTGGCATAGTTCCTGTGTCAAAAGTTCATGTGGGCATAGTTCCTGTGTCAAAAGTTCATGTGTGAAAAGCTACAGTGGGCATAGTTCCTGGGGGCATAGTTCCTGGGGGTATAGTTCCTGGGGGCATAGTTCCTGGGGGCATAGATCCTGTGGGCATAGTTCCTGTGTGAAAAGCTCCAGTGGGCATAGATCATGTGGGCATAGTTCCTGCGGGCATAGATCCTGTGGGCATAGTTCCTGTGTGAAAAGTTCCTGTGGGCATAGATCCTGTGGGCATAGTTCCTGTGTCAAAAGTTCCTGTGGGCATAGTTCCTGTGTCAAAAGTTCATGTGGGCATAGTTCCTGTGTCAAAAGTTCATGTGTGAAAAGCTACAGTGGGCATAGTTCCTGGGGCATAGTTCCTGGGGGCATAATTCCTGGGGGTATAGTTCCTGGGGCATAGTTCCTGGGGGCATAGATCCTGCGGCATAGGTCCTGTGGGAAAAGTTCCTGGGGGCATAGTTCCTGGGGAAAAGTTCCTGGGGGTATAGTTCCTGGGGCATAGTTCCTGGGGGTATAGTTCCTGGGGGCATAGTTCCTGGGGCATAGTTCCTGGGGGCATAGTTCCTGGGGGCATAGTGCATAAAATATAACTCCGAGAGAAAACACATCACATGACTTGGTGTAATGACCCTGGAGAACTTCTGGAGCGATATATGCCATTGATTATTCCATAGGAATACTTGATGTCAGATAGCTGCCAGGAGTGATCGGAGATGATATATCATTGACCGCAAATGCATGCATTCTAGCTTCTCCCAGATCGGATATTTTGCATACAGGACGTCCATGAATTTGACTCTCGGTGACTAACACGTTTGCAGGCTTCATATCCCTGTGAACAATATTGATCTGGTGCAAGAAGTCTAAGCCATTGGACATGTCATACATAAACAGCACTTTGGAATCCACTGACACATGTGTTTTTGTCACATAACGATTAAGGTCTCCAAGTTCACAATATTCCAAGACTATATAGAAACCATCCGGTTCAAATTCAAAAGATTCAATAATGGATACAATATTGCCATGGCCTCCGCTTTCTCTCAGTAATTCTGTTTCTTTGACAAACTTCTCACGTTGCGTCAGATCAGATTTGATTTCCTTCACCGCAACAAATTCATTTGTCTCTCGATTGATTGCTCTATACACGACCCCGAAACTTCCCTCACCAAGTGTTTCCTCTAGGTCGTATTTGTCGAGTAGTTCTCCAGTAGAGAGTGACTGTCCCATGGCTGTCCTGTCCTGCCCTGTGTCCTTACGCCACGGTATTTGACTCAGATGTGCTGGATATATCTATAGCTATGGAGTCACACATGCATATGATGTAATGCTCTGTTTTGTTTGGTTGTTGTTTTTCGCCACACTGAGCATCGATCTGCGCAATTGGGATACGATGACGTGTCAGCCTGCCACCTAAGCGTTAGCCTGCCACCCGAAAACCAAGTCCAACCCCGTTAGTCACGGGTCTGTCATCTTCTGAATAGATGAGTTCTATATTCCGCTGGATCGATATGTGAACAACCATCGATTCGTGCACTATTGCTCGTACACTATTGTACACTCGTAGTCTCATGTACACCCGTATGCATATTATATAGGGACTCTTTAAAATTTAACACCTATTTTCTTAATAATTACTGAATTTGTTAACGTTTGATCTTCTTCTTTGCTACCGCTTTCATTAAATTTGTTTGTTTGTTTAAAAGGAAATTTAGCGTAGGTGACGCTTATTTAGAAGTGTAAAATAAGAGAAGGGACTCCGTACTACAAAAACAACAACACATCAACTAAACTCATTGAAGCTTTACTAGTTTTGAAAGTCCGCTGGGATTGACGTACTTGAGTCATAACGATGAGAGGTTACTAAGTTCAAGAAAATAATCCGATTCGAAATCCCAGTTTTTCCTGACATTTTCGCTTGGCCTCTTTCCAAAAATCAGGAACCCTTACAAGGCCCCTGTGAATCATTTTCCGCCAAACGCGATGCATTGTGGGATTAAACATCCGGTACAGCCACGCCCTCTACGCGGAAGAGGATTGTCGGTGCAATAAATCGAGGAAGTTTTCTGTGTAGAAGGTAATTATCGTGTGATTTTATATGTTCGCCGTGTGGAATAAGTTACCAAAATTCGCTAAAAATAAAATGCTCTTTCTTTCACTTCACAGTTCTGTGAACTAAATCCCCTCCATCCTTTGTTGTCGCTGATATCGAACATGGCCGCCCCCATGAATGTTCGAGATGCTCGGATGAATCATTGTGTAGTTAGACTTTCCTCGGAATATTTTTGCTTAGATGACAAAATATTGTCAAAGCCAACGATTAAACAGTTTTCTGTTGTCAGTGGCTGGTCTTGTTAAATTCGTCAGTGATTTGGCAATGGCATTTTAGGCATGTTATTTTGACAGGTCAACTTCCATAGAGGGAAAACTTCAAAAGATATTTAAAGATTTCTTTTTATGCATGCACTCTCGTGTAAATAACTGTTTGTAGGTGGAATGGACTTTATACATACTGTGGATTCACTCTGAGAAAGCCAAAGAATCACAATGATAAGAAAGTGAGAAGTTGGAAGTGTACTTTGCAAATATATATTACCCAGATACACTGTTTTTGGTGAATTTTGCATGACGTTTAGTTTAATAAGGTGAAGATTGCATCATAAGCACATGCCATTGTTCTCCTTAACCTTTTTTATGAAATATTTGAAGGTTCATTTTGAGATATCATCTTGTACCTTGGGTTTTGGTGTGTAAGCAATCAAGCATAGGTCCGGACTGATTGATAGCATGAGCATCGGTGTTCCAGGAACACACTCGGACAGGTCACATGTTATCACATAACCCATCCTCTTCATGAAGTTTTCTCTAATGGGTATTATAGTCTGTTTGCATTGTAAATGTATCGATGAATTTAACTCTTAACAAACAAGTAAATCGATTAAAGCGAAATTAAGATTGCGAATCCTCATAATTTTACCTTGCCAATTGAACATTCAAATTCTCAGAATTTTATTCAACTTAGGATAAAAGTTGTTTAACAAACGTCAAACGATCATACTTTCAAATCGCTATTAGTGGTTTGTATTACAAGGGGTATGCACATTAGATGAAACACCGAGAACAAGTAGGTCTGGTCTAAGTTAACACTCATCTGGTACTTCATGTACATTTGTTTCACTGTTCCATCTACTGCGCTTATCCCCTTGTAATACAAACCAATAATAGTGATTTGAATTTATGATCGGTTGTTAAACAACTTTTATCTTAAGCTGAATAAAACTTTGAGATTTGAATGTTCAATTGGCAAGGTAAAATTATGAGGATTCGCAATCTTTATTTCACTTAATTTGATTTACTTTTTTGTTTAAAGTGAAATTCATCGGTACGTTTTCACTGCAAACAGGCTATAGTATGTACTCTCCCAATGTGAGAAATCCAGGGGTAAAAACAGCAAAATGTCCCCAGCAACCTGTGCAGGTTGTAAGAAGTTATCAAATGGATATTATTGTCAGATTCTTGACTTTGTAACTTCTTTTTTTATGAATGCTGTCATGTGATCTGCAGTAAACTTACACTGCAAATTATTCAATGTTACTCATTTTGTGTCATTTTACTAATAGTAATAAATTGACTGAGGCACAATGTAACATATGCAACTGAAAAAGATATTTAACTCTGACTGTAAATGTACAGTCTCTAATTTACCATGGCATAAAGAGAGGGAATAAAACTTGTCAGCACCTGACGGTGAGATCACCTGACTAACTAGCAAGCATCAAGAGCATGGAAAATAGTGTTTTTGTTATCATCTACATTGCTTGATCCAATCTGGACTAATAATATGCAACAACTTTCACTGGTTGGAAGACCTTGTCTAGTAAATTCTGTCATGGTGTAGCATAAGATCAGCTTTTAGTAGTCCATATATCAAGACCATTATTTACTCAAATTGATGTGAAACTAACAGTTCAGGCTAGGTATTTCTTGGTGCAAGTTGTAAAATAGAAACAATATTACCAGCAACTCCTTAATATGACACTGTAGATGTGGTATAAATCTTTATAACATTGTCAAGCATGATTGATCACTGTACAGAACTATATATGGTAGGTGATTAACAGTAACATTTTATACACTAACAAGTTTTAAAAAATGAAATTTCTAAGAACCTCCATAGAAACGTAGTAGAAACAGTCCAGATGCATTGGTGTGCAGAGAATTGTGGTTCAATTGTGGTTCAAAATAGGGTAAAAGCAGTCTATACTTGTGTATACAGAGCCAAATAAAACAAAGAGAATGCAGTCTGGTATATTTGTCATTGCAATCTGACAATATTTCATCATAGATCATGATATCAATCACTGGTTTGCTGACCCGTGAAGGTCCTGACTAGAATTAATCTTCAGTAACACATGCTTGTCGTAAGAGGCGACTAATGGGATCGGGTGGTCGGGTTTGCTGACTTGGTTGACACATGGCATCGGTTCCCAATTGTGCAGATCGATGGTCAGTGTGGCAACAAACAACAACCAAACAAAACAGAGCATTACATCATGTGACTCCATTAGTGTTGGGAATTGGTTTAAATCTCATATTTGATGATTGGTTCATTACAACCGATCAATCATCGAAAATAATTGCTTAGCATCATTTATCAAATTTTCCTGGTTATTTTTGTTACTGCACAAAAGATAAATAAAAAAACGTAGTTTTTTCGTTTTCTTTGCAAATTGCACAAAATGCATTTGCAAATTTACATCTTTAAAGGATGACTAGCATGTTAGGAACATGAATTTCATGGAGTCTTTAAAATAAATTCAATCATGAATTGGAAGAGCTTTTTGTGCTAATGAAATCCAACAGACAAAACCAACCTTGTGAAAATTATTGTTATTGCAAACAAATGTTCCCAAATTGATTGTGTTCGATTATGAGAAAACATGATCGATTGCTTGGTTGTTTTGTCATTGCAACCAATCTTCGATTATTTCAATTAATCAGACCACCACTAGACTCCATAGCTATAGATATATCCAGTGCGGCATAAAACTAAACTCACTCACTCACTCGCTGGTTTGCTCAGTCTTTCGTGTAACTGAGGACACGGGCACCGTACCACAGAGCAGTGGTAGCTGTGAGGTAACCACAGTTCCCATACCTTAACATGGACTTGCAACAATGGAAGCACTGCAGTCGCTTTGTGGAACTACCTAGGTCATGTTGATATCTGGGGTTGAATTACATAACAGATTGATGTATGCAGCAGAATGGTCTGTGTGATGAATGTGAGCAGGTGTGTGCTGGTAATAAATATGTGTATTTATTGATTATATTCTTGTTTGATGAAATATTTCTATTTTTGTGCATATTGCCAATTCAAATGTGTTTAAACACACCTCCACGTACAAGGAAATATTTTACACTGATACAACATGGTATGACCATGGTGATTAGACAGACCACCACTGCGCTCCAAGGGCAACAATTAATCCACAAAGGGGCGAACATAATGTTTCATGAATATAGGGTAAGAAATATGAACATTTGTTCAAGAATACTCTGTTTAATATCAAGGAATAAAAATACAAGCATGTCTTGTAATTGGTTAGGCTGAAACATTTCATGCCATTTAAAGCCTAATGACAGTTTCATAAAGGGCCATGGCAAAATGACACAAGTTATGCTATTACAAGTCTTGTATAGCAGCAGGTATATATCCCTTTTTGCTTATCTCACTTTCATAAATACCAGATGTGTACCAAGTGGAAAACACTCTTTTTAAAATGTTATTGTCAATTTTTTATTCTATATAACAAGTAACAAAGTTCATGGGGGTATGGTTTAATTCAGTGAATAAGTGCATAAATTGTAACTGGACTAGTGTAAACACACAGTCATGGACTGGTATGATACAGCAGCAACACACGACGAGTGATGGAAATTCTCATCAAACGAGTGATGGAAATTCTCATCAAATGAGTTGCTTTTTGATATTTTTATGTCATGATGACATCTTGAGGCAGTCTCACAAGACAAAGTGCGCTTGAAGTTATATGGCACAATTTGTAGTGTCTTTGGGGGGTTTTCAGCTACAAATATGTAAGGAATGTACAATATTTTGTATTGTCTGTGAGACAGATAAGCGCCATGTCCATGCTCCTGGGTTTCACCCACGTAGGAAACATCTAATCCCAGCACCACTTCGGGTTTTCCCCCCACATTAAACAGACATGCCATGGTATAGCTGGAATACTGTTCAAAGCTGCAGTATGCTTAAATCACTCACTTTTGTATCCCAGAGTACTTCATTATCTACTTAAAGGCACAATGTCACACATTTTCAAAAATATTTTGGCCTGTATTATATAAATTTGGGTATCTGCACTCACTTTAGCTTCCTATTGTTGCAATAAAAGACTTATTGTACCTTACGACTTGCCTGAAATCGATAATTGAAAGTTCGAGGAGGACAGCTTCCAAACAGAGAATACATGCCATATATGGAATGTAAACAATTGCTCCGTACATCGAAAACTTTTGCCGAACTGGTTTCAATCACAACTTGTGCATAGGATATTTGTAAAGAGCGCTCCACAGGACATAACTCTATAGGGTTTGCTTTAAATAATGTTCGGCCGGTAGATCGATTTAATGCAGAGTTGATTTAGACTAATGCTTAGTCTCTGAATATATGCATTTTGATTCAAACAAACCATTTTTAATTGAAAAGGAGCCCTAGGGAGACCAGAGATTCAGAACCTGAGGAAAAGACTTGCTTTATTTAGGGCTTTAGCAATGCAGATATGGTACAGTAGGGGTAGCTGTTCAGGGACTGTGAGGGCTGATAATTCCTTGGTATTAATGTAATCTAAATACATTATTTATTTGATATGGTACTGGAAGCTGCCTTTGTAATGTTGATAATGAGAGAAATGCATTATTTATATCTAGAGAAGTGTGGTGTGATATAGTGCCTTTAAACACCAAGGGGTATGGTGTGATACTAGAGAATTGTCCCCAGTTGTCCTCTCTACCAAGGACAATATCAGCTTATCAGTTAACATGAGGGATATATTC